TGGAGCGTTAGGTGACAGCACCGAGAAGGTGTGAGACGCGGTTTCCTCAGCGTAGAAACGGGTCTTAGTCTCGGTGTCACCGTCCGGGTGACCCTCGCTGGGGCCTGGTCGAGGACCGCGGTGCCCGAGGCAGCCTCCTCACTCGCTGCTCCCGCTTTGCCTTCACAGAGTTCGATGGCGGTGGCCGGGCTTCGGCGCCCCGCTGAGGTGAGTGCGCGGGCCCACAGGCCTTCGCCGCTCATCCCACCGAGCCTTGCATCCTTGGTGCGGGACGTCCTGCAGGCTAGGCCCTGGCGGTGTGGAGCGTGAGGTGCTCCTGGGGGACAAACTGTGTGACGCGGGTGGGAGGGGGTGACGGGCTGAGGGGCTGCTCGGTAATGATGCGCAGGGGCGGCTGAGCGGGGGAGGATCCGGGACCCTGCGATCGTCCTGCGCGCTGGTAGCAGAGAGTGCGAGGCGGAGTGACAGCTGGAGTAGCAGGCTGGGCTTGTGAGGACTCTGGAAGCCAGGGCTGGGGGGTATCAAACGTCCCCAAGGGCCGTTCAAAGGAAGAAGAGACCGGAAAGGGTGATGCGAACACTGAAGCACTGAGAGGTTGAATCCCTGTTTCAAGATCTCTGTGCCGGTTAACAGGACACTGAGTGCCCAGGTACGGAGGTGAGACAGCCGGTGCGAGGTCATCGGGCTTCAGGGTCAGGAAGGAGGGCCCAGGAAGGGAGCTCTGTGAACCCTACCATGGACAGATTTTTCTGAGGCCTCCCTCTAGTACAGGTTCCCGTGCCTGCGGAAGTGCTTTTGGAAGCACAGGAAGTAGAAGGTGTTCCAGACCCTCAGTGGCCTTGACCTCTGGATGGTTTTTTCTTAGAGTCTTTTCTTTTAAGTTATTTTAAATTATAGTTCACATAAAAGATTTTGTTAGCTTCAGGTGTGTACAGCAAAATGTTCAGCATAAAAATACCTATCTGGAGTCTTTTATTTTAATCCTCACCCAAGGATATGTTTATTGATTTTAGAGAGAACATAGATTGGTTGCTTCCCAGATGTGCCCCGACCGGGGGTCAAACCCACAATCTAGGTATGTGCCCTGACTGCAGATTGAAACCACAACCTTTTGGTGTACTGTACCATGCTACAACCAACTCAGTCACCCAGCCAGAGCCCTGCTTAGAGTCTTAAGTGCCATTTCTCCTGTACTTTGGTCTGGAAATCTTGGAGAAACCCCAAGTTGTAGGGGTTGTAAGTTGTAGTGGAGTTGTAAGTCCTTGTCAGACTTTATACAGACGTGTTCCTGTAGGTGGCAATCAATGTAAAAAGTGTGGAGGGTTATATAGGGAACTAGTACCAGGATGTGTAGATGCTTACAGGAGCAACTCACCTAGGAGTGCTCCGGAAACCACAGGTCTGTCTTATTTTTTTAATGTGGGAATAAACAGCAGGGGTGCAGGAGTTGGGACTGGAATGGCTGCCTAAGAGTTGGATATGTATTCTGGAAGTCACTGGAGTTTTGGATTAGAGAGAGGAGGTGGTCTTTAAAGGTCTTACCAGCCTCTATCTGGATGTACAGTGGCAGCAACTGTGGGGGTGAGGCAGGAGAAAATAAGGTCAGGCTGGAGTCAGGCTACTACTGACTCCACCTGAAGCTTAATGGACCAGAATGGTAGCTTAGCAAAAGTGGTTAGACTCTGGATGCATATTTGAAAAAGGGTTGACTAGATTTTCTAATGTAGAGGGAGAGGTGGTGAAACATAGGATTCAATGATGATTGCTGTGTTTTGAACTTATAGGAGTAGATGCTCCATCATCTAAGTTGGGGAAGATTATAATAGGAGAGGAATTCACTGAAGATACCAAGAGCTTTGCTTTGGCCATGTTGAGAGGTTGAGGTGTCTCTGAGACCAAGTGCAGACATGGCTTGGGCAGCTGGACACACTGGTTTGGAAATCTGGGGAGGGTTCTCAATGGAGACATCCGAAATGTGGCTACTTTGTGGACACAGGTGAGTAAGCTGTGTTCACATTTAAAAGGGATAATCTTCAGATTATGAAGTCAAAGGTATTAGGGGGCCAGGTTGAGGAGGATGGAGTCTGTGAACTAGCTCTCTTGCTTGAGTACTGGGTGGTAGTTTTCGGGTGAGGCAGTGAAGTGGTCATGAAGGGAGGACATGTTGAAGATTGTATACATCTGGCAGGTGACCAGGCCTTTCAAGGGAATAATGGACATGAGTTGGGTACAGAGGCCTGGGAGTGATTGAATCAAGATGACATTTAGGGCAGAGCTAGTGTTTTTTCTCCATGCTCTTCACCCAGCAAAATTTTGTGGCAATTTTGATGGGGCAGAGTGTTTCATTCATCCTCAGGGATCAAGCCAGGGGCACATAGGGTCATCTGTGAGACTCACTAGGCATGAAGTGGCCTTAGAATGAGGTTAAGTGAGCAGAGGAAGTTTTTACTACTAACAAGCAGTAAGTGCAGCACAGAAGTGGAAGAGGGTTGTGGGTATGTGTGTGAGATTCACACATGATTGATTCTCTGTGGCTGAGTTGGAGGCAAGGAACCAAGCCAGACAGTGAAGCCTTTATGGAAGCATTTGGAGTTGCCACCACTCATAGGAGCAATGGGAGGTCTGTAGTGGTATTGGATCCTGTTTGAATTTGCTGATCTTACTTTGGATGTTGTCTATTAAGTTGTAGTGTAAGACCTAACATGAAGTCCCAGTGTTACGTGTTGCCTTGACATCTGGTGAAACCTGGAGGGCCTCAAATGGCCTGTGTACAAGTTCCCTTCCCCACTGTAGCCAAGCAGTTCTTTTTAGTGAGAATACCAGACCCAGTTCCTCCTTTTCCCTTTGTATTAGGTTTTAGTTCTCTCCTAGCCCATGGAGTTATTCATACCAACCAGTGGTATCATCCTGCTGGAACCCAGGGGCACCTCACTGTCCCAATACTACAAAGATTGCTACACCCTACAAAAATACTACAAAAATTCTACATCCCTGGTTGTTCACTGTTTTCCATAGGACAGCCCCATAACCCTCGCCAGTGTGGCAGAGTTGGTTGGAGTGTCGTCCCATGACTGAAAGGTTGTGGGTTCAATTCCCACTAAGAGCACATACCTAGGTTGCAATGTTCCACACCCATCCCAGTGCACATATGGTCCTCAGATGGCTGCTTATGGGAAGCAACCAGTTGATGCATCTCTCTTGAATGGATATTTCTCTCTCTAAAAAGCAATGAAAAAATATCCTCAAGTGAGGGTTAAAAACAACAACAAAAAAAGTCATATAGTACAACCCCATGTAGCCCTGTGTGGTGTCCTCCCTTCCCAGGCTGTGAATGTGTGTGTGATCGATTAAACTGCTGACCATCTCATCTCTCCAGTGTCAGGTGTCATGTGTTTGGTTTTTCCCATAACCCTAGGGCAGGATCCTACCTCAGCAGTGTGGTGGAGAGGTGAGGTCATTAAAGTATAGTAACATGGGGAGACTAGGGAAAGGGCTGTGGTATGGGGCAGTGAGATGGTGGTGGCAGTGGGCCTGTGGCTGTGCTGTCCAGAGGTGTGATAGATGTGCAGTCTAAAGGCTTGCGTGCTCTTGAAGCAGAAGTATGTTTGATGGCCCCGGGGCCCTTGAATTGACACTTGCATGACCTTGGCCATCTCAGAGGAATTGCCTGTGGGAGCTGGTGGAATCCTGTATTCCAGGCTCACAGATATCTATCTATCTATATTAGTTTACCTGCCTCTTGTTATTGATGGCTGGACCTCAAGACCAATGAATTCCAAAAGTGTTCTTGCCACCAGGGCCTGGTTTTTCCACTTAGTTAAGGAGCTTGGGATGAGAATGGGCATGGATTAAATAGGAGAGGGAAGGGATTGTATGCCCTTAGGAAGGGGCTGTTTTTGGTTTCATCTGTCCCCATTATGATAGGGCAGGGTGACCTTTGATGACGTGGCCGTGTACTTCTCCTGGGAGGAATGGGATCTCCTTGATGAGGCTCAGAGACGCCTGTACCAGGATGTGATGCTGGAGAACTTGGCACTTATAACCTCCCCGGGTAAGATCCTCACACCCACCCCACTCTTCTGAGCTGGTCTCTGCCCTTTCATTTTCCCCAAGAGGTCTATCTGTCTCACTTAGGACCATGAGCACTGCTTTCTTTCACAGTTTCTTGGGTAGGTGCTGTGGTTGATTGGACTGAAGTGTGTGTACTTCCCTTTTCTTGAGCATTCCCAACATCTGCTTCCCCTAAGTTTACCATGGAAGGGTCCAGAGTCAGTCATCTTGCAGTCACTGTATAGATTCCACCGGGCTTGCCATCACCTTAGCCGAGCAGATTTGTTCAGATGCAAATCAACTCTCTACCCAAGGGCTGACTTCTTTCCTCTTGCTAACATTTTTTGATGCCTACCTGTACTAGGAATTATCGTCACTTACATTGTCACTGTTTGTATGATTCATGCAGTGTTCTTGTAAGACCTTCCTCAGAAGTTGTCTTTGTGGTATTTAGTTTTCTCTCCTGTGGCTGTCATGTGCTAAGTTCTTTTTTTTTTAATTTTTATTTTAATTTTTGTTCAAGTAGTTTTCTGTTTTTTTTTACTCCTATCCTGGCCCACTCACCCATCCCTCCCCACCTCCCTCCCATTTCCACCCCCCAGTTTTTGTCCATGTGTCTTTAAAAGAAATAATTTTATTTATTTATTTATTAAATTTTATTTACTTATCTTTAGAAAGGAAGGGAAGGAGAGAGGGAGAGAAATATCAATGTATGGTTGCTTTTCACGCGTCCCCTGCTAGGAACTGGCCTGCAACCCAGGCATGCGCCCTGACTGGGAATCGAACTGCGATCCTTTGGTTTGCAGGCCTGTGCTTAATCCACTGAGCTACACCAGTCAGGGCCTCCTTTATACTTGTTCCTGTAAACCCTTCCCCTTTCCCTCTGAAATTCCCTCCCCTCTCCCCTCTGGTCACTGTCAACCTGTTCTCTATTTCAGTGTCTTTGGTTAAAAAATATGGAACACTTCATGAATTTGCATGTCATCCTTGCACAGGGGCCATGCTAATCTTCTCTGTTGTCCCAATTTTAGTATATGTGCCGCAGAAGCGAGCTCATGTGCTAAGTTCTTCATTTCCTCTCACTTCTTTTACTTCCCTGAGTACTTGCATCATGCAGTTGCCATGTAGTTGCTCATCTTGGGAGTGTGATGGAGAGCGCTTGGTGGTTTTCAGGGTGGGTATGAGTTCACCCATAGAAAGATGGGCTCAGAGGGAGCCTGGTCCTAGGGCGTGGCACCCTGGGAGAGGGCATGATGTCAGGGTTGTGTTGAAACCATACCGCCGCCTATTCTGTTGGACTCTTATCTTGGTTCTCAAGCCAGTGGCTACATTTTATTTCGGCTTTTCCATCTCCATTCTTGACACTTTGCATACTAATAATTCTTCCACACGTCACTTCTCCTATTACACCCAGCCTGTGGGCTCGTCCTCACTTGTCTGACTCCACATCATGCTGCTCCGTGGGCAGTGTTCTCCAACATTGTTTTTTCCATATTATATCATGATATGCACACATACTCTTAGGTAGTCATTGAATACCTGCTGCTGTGGTGCAGCTGGATAATTTTTATCTGTACCTGAGGACATTTTTTTATTACTTTTAGACAGGAGTTGGGGGGGGGTGAGAGAGAGAGAGAGAAAGAGAAAGAGAGAAATAGTAATTGGTTGCCTCTTGTAAGCTCCCCAACTGGGGATTGAACCCACAACCTAAGCATGTTCCCAGACCGGGATCAAGCCCATGACCATTTGGTGTTCAGGGTGCTCCAACCAACTGAGCCACACTGTCCAGGACATGGATATTCTTTATCCCAGACACCCTTCAGCACAGCACTCATGGGTCAGCTGTAGATAAGATCCTGCTTAATGTTTTCAAATACATAAGTAGTCCCTGCCTTCACCTTGTGATACCTCCTGCTCCATTTGTGCTCTTTATAACCTAGTATTTTTCTACTCAGCATTCAGGTGTTACCCACCAGGAGATAGGTCCTGCTAACATTCGTTTACAGAGAAATGAGTTGTAGATCCTGTCTCTCCTCCCTGTGCTCTGTACTTGGTGTTGTCCTTCACTTCACGAGGCTTCCTACAGTCTGATTTATAGCCCAGCACTGCTAAGTAGTCCTCGCCGGAACCCAGATCCAAGCTCCTGCACACATTGCATGGACTCTCCTGATTGTGTCAAACACTCATTTGAGTCCAGGCTGCCCCTCCTGCCACAGTCAACATGCACTTTACCAGTGTTTCTTTTCTTTTAGGTTGTTGGTATGGGGCAGAGGATGAGGCACCTGAGCAGAGTGTTTCTGTAGAAAGAGTGTCACAGGTCAGGATTCCCAAGGCAGGTCTGTCTTCCCAGAGGGCCCACCCACGTGACAAGTATATCCCGGTGTTGGAAGACATTTTGCTCTCAGCTGAACATCAGGGAATGCCTCATGGACAGAAGCTGTGCAGGCTGGGCCCGTGTGGGAAACAACTACATTTCAGTGCAAACCTCTCTCAGCACCAGATGCAAAACATTGGAGAGAAACCCTTCACAATCAATGTGAACAGAACTTCCATTGGGAATGACTGCAAATTTCACGTGTCTGGGAAGCCCTTTACCTGTGGGGAGATTGGGAAGGACTTTTTGGCCACTTCAGGATTACTCCAGGTACAAAGCACTAATACTCAAGAAAATTCAAACACCGGAACCAACTCCGTGGCAGCCTTTCCCAAGCGAAAAACTCACTCTCAAGAATGCATGAAAGTTTTGAGGTACAAACACAAAGTTATTCATCACCAGAGAGTTCTCAGTAGAGAAGGACGTTACATATGCAGTGAATGTGGGAAATCCTTTAGCCAAAGCTACAGTCTCATTAGGCACTGGAGAGTTCACACAGAAGAAAGGCCCTATGAGTGCAAGGAATGTGGGAAATACTTTAGCAAAAGCTGTAGTCTCAGTAACCATCAGAGAATTCACACTGGAGAAAGGCCTTATTTCTGTAGGGAGTGTGGGAAAACCTTTACCCATAGCTCTAATCTCATGAAACACCAGAGAGTTCACACTGCAGAAAGGCCTTATGAGTGCAAGGAATGTGGGAAATTATTTATCTACAGGTCCATTCTCTTAGAACACCAAAGAGTTCACACTGGAGAAAGGCCTTTTGAATGCAGTGAATGTGGAAAGTCATTTAGCCAAAGATCTCACCTCAGTAACCATGGGAGAATTCACACTGGAGAAAGGCCATATGAATGCTGTGATTGTGGGAAATCCTTTAGCCATAGCTCTAGCCTCATTAAACACCAGATAGTTCACAGTGGAGAGAGACCATATGAGTGTGAGGAATGTGGAAAATCTTTTTACCAAAATTCTGGCCTTATTCAACACCAGAGAGTTCACACTGGAGTCAGGCCTTATGAATGTGGGGAGTGTGGAAAATTATTTAGTAATAAGTCTAACCTCAATAAACATTGGAGAGTTCACACTGGAGAAAGGCCTTATGAGTGTTGTGAATGTGGGAAATCTTTTAGCCAAAGCTCCAGTCTCATTCAACACCAGAAGATACACACTAAATAATGGCCTTATGAGTGATGTTATGAATTTAATGTTTATGTGCCCCACAATCCATTTGTTGAAATCCTATCCCCTAATGTGATAGTATTAGGGGGTGAGGTCTTTGGGAGGTACTTATGATGGAAATTGGTCATTTGGGAAGAACCATCATGAGTTTGGGATTAATGTCCTTATAAGAGTTGAGAGAAAGCTTGCTTCCTCTGTCTGCTATGGGAGGACCCTTTGAGAAGATGGTCTGTGAATCAGGATGCTGGTCCTTACTGCACACTGGACCTGACCACATGGGGACCATGATGTCAGATGTCCAGGCTTAAAAAGAGTGAGAAGTAAATTTACATTGTTTATAAGCACCCAAGTTTATTGTGATATTTTATAGCAGCCCAAGCTAAGACAGAATATGGATAATCCTTTAGGCAAAGACATAGTCTCGTAAAAATCAGAGAATTCACAGTGGAGCAAGGCCCTTATGGGTTCAGTGAATGAACAGTCCTTTTAGCCAGTCATCTGTCTTCATTCCACACCTCAGAGTTCACACTGCCAACAAGCTTTAAAATAGCAGAGAATGTGATATTTCTTGGCTTAGGATAATTACACTGGAGGAGAACCCTTGTGAGGCAGTTGTTTACCTGGACTGAACTTCGTTCATCTGAATGTCGACAGTGGGGTGATTTTCCCATATGTCCTAGCTACTTGGAAAATGTTCAGAAGCTGCATTGTGCTTTCTAACCTCCCTGGACTCCTGGCTAGATTTAAGTCACTGCCAATGTTTGTGGCAAAAGTAATGTCATCTCTGCCACCTGGCCAGTCCCCACAGTGTACATCAGTCACCACCCCACATAGGGAAGCTGCTTTGTGTTCTTTCATTGCTTATGGAACCCACAGGGATGCTTGTTTCCTCCTCAGGGCATGGATGGGACCCAGCGCTGGCCCAGAGTACCTGGTCTGAGTTCTGGTGGTGTCTTGCAAATAAAGACTACATTTCTTAGGAGTATTGTTGGTGTCACATGAGGCTTGTTATAAGTCTTTGCAGTTTTGAAGTCACCAACCCAGGACTTGCGTGCCACAGTTTCTTTGGTTTATGTAATAATAAAGATCCTTTGGTTTAATTACTTTTAAATTTGGTTTTCTTTTCTTTTGTGGGGTGATTTCAAAGCAGAATCAAGGTCTGCCAGCATGAAGGGGTGAACACATTTCATTGGATCCCAAGCTTTGTGTTTCAAGGAAGTCAGTATAATTGCAAATGAATGAGTGAATAAAGCTGTCCAGTTTTTGTCTTGTGTTATGATCCAAAGCCTTAGTTGTGGGCTGAGCTGTGTACTCCTTTATTTCTATGTTAAAGTCCTCACCCTCAGTCCTTCAAAATGTGACTATGTTTAGACATAGCATTTTGAAAGAGATACCAGTCAAACCTTGGTTCTCCAAAATCTTCCATCTTGAACAATTTGATTCTTCACCAAGTTCATGGGAAAAAATGTCTCAGTTGTCAAACTAAACTTCGATTCTTGTCCCCAAAACCCTTTCATGCCGATCATGTATAATCTGTCATGTGTTTCTCAGGCAACACACGAAAGAATGCACGAGTTTGAGTATGATTTGGTTTTTGAACAAATCACTTCAAACTGCCTTCTGGAATGAATTAAGTTCAAGAACATAGGCTCCACTGTACTACATTAGAATGAAATCATTAGAGCAGACTCTTAATGTAGTGTGAATGATGTCCTTAATAAAAGGGGTGAGGACACACACCCACAGAACAGACTACCCTCTGCAAGCCAAGGAGAAGAGGCCTCACAGGAAACCAACCCTGTTGACACCTCCGATTTCTAGACTCCATCTGCGTGGGAAAATAAATTTCTGTTGTCTAAGCCACCCAGTTGGTGGTACTTTGTTATGCCAGTTCTAACTGACTAACAGCCTCCTCAGATACGTATCTTGGCTTTGTGGTCTGGATGCCAAGATTTTGTGTGTGTGTGTGTGTGTGTGTGGGGTCAGGTCATCCTGAAGGGGAAGCCATTGTGGCACCCTCTAGTGCTCTGGAAACACCATGGATGTTTTGTTTGTTCACACTTTATTCAATGACAGGTGAAGTTGAATGGAGTGCAAAAGAACTGTGTGCCATGATGTACAGAATTCACTTGTAATACTGCAGGGGTGGGGGAACCATAATTGGTAATCCGGAAGACTGAATTAATAGGGAGTGGAGGAGACTCGGCCACATAGATGGGTGTGGTGCTGCTAAAAGTTCATCCACATATATTCCAGGGATGGCAGGAACTCTGCAACTTTCACACCTATATATCTTTTGTAACAGATCATTGTCAGGTAAAACAGTCTAAGGTTTTTGGAGTTCTGTTCGCTTCCTGGGCTGTCCATCTCATCTATGCCATTGCTGTGCAGGCAGAAAAGCAAGGATAAAGACAACGGAGATCTCACAGCCCAGGGATGTGGTTTTTGTGACCCAGCCCAGCCTGTGTTCCTGTTGACACAAGAAATAGCCTTCATTGATAA